ATATAGAATAGCATATACCTGCCCCACCATGGGAGTTCCGTTTGGTACAACTTCGCCCCAGTGGCGCTGGAAAGCACTCTGAGCTGCCTCGCTGTGTCGTATCACTCGTGCAATGAGCTGTAGAATATCGACCGCTCCATCTGGTGCATTGAGGTGTTTGACGTTCAGTTGTGAAAGCTTATATTGAGTTATTTAAGCTTCGAGTTGTTTGATATTCAGTTGTTTAAGCCTAGAGTTGCTTCATATACAGTGGTTTGAACATTGGCTGTTCACAATGTTGCTGTTTGGTAATGTCACGACATAAAAAAGAGCAGAAACAAGTGGCCCTAGTTTTTCACATCGCAGGGGTTTGGGGTGTGCAAGTAAACAACATGGCGCTATTCACTTGCGATAGGGTGAACCGGACCACAGCGACTCTGCCATGAGCTGTAGGATGTCTACAGGTCATTCTCAAGAGGAAAACGTATGTACACTTGTTTTATCTATAAACTAGAAAGATAAGATGTACACTTGTTCTAACTATCAACTAGAAAGATAATATGTATACTTGTTCTCAACTACATATAATTACAAACGTATTTTTTTAGACACACACATACATACACATGCAGTAAATACACACATGCACACACATGCAGTAAATACACACATGTACACACATGCAGTAAACACTCAATACACAGGCAGTAAACACACACATGCATCCACATACAGGAAACACACACATGCATACACATGCAGTAAACACACATATGCATACAAAGTAGTTGACAGATAAAACTTAGTCACATACCCGCATTGGCTGCTAACATCTGAGGTACTTGTTGAACAGCCTGAGCGAACAGCGACCCTCTCGCACCCACACACTCAGCCGACGCTTCCACCAATTTTTGATAGATCAGATCTGTGGCGATTTTTCCGGTGCACATTATCGAGAGCACGTGCGCGTACGTGGTGGTTGCCATGGTAACGCAGCCGGGGACCTTGATAGTCAGAGCGTCCTTGGTACAGGTTATGTACTGGTGCAGTCTGTAGAACTCTTTGCTAGAAATGAGACCTAACATTTGTTCGGGACTCCCCTGACAGAGACGAGCGGCCATATCAGATACCTGTTTGTGTTGTAGAATATATGGATGTGACAACCCAGTTTGTATGATATATATATATATATATATATATATATATG